ACTAGCAACACCTTAACTGTACTATGTTTTGTGTTTCCAATAGATGCTACTGTGAAAGAAAAAATATACTCGAGTATTTTGTATTATTTTAGTCAAGTCTTATGCATATTATTTAGTTGTGATGTCCATTTATTTGAGACCACCCGCATGCCATTTCCTATTGAAACATCTGTTCTTCATTACACCATGGGACAGGAAGTCAGAGGGGCCTTGTTGGGTGTGTGAAACCATCAGAATATTAGTTCCCAGAAACTGCTCACACATAAATCACTGCGATACAGAGGCGCCTGACCCGATCAACAAGGAACTGTTTGTTTTAGCCCTTAAGGCATGGAGGCTGCACAGCTGCAGAAAGAAAAGCTTTGCAGAGAGTGGTGAAGGCTGCACAGAAATCTGTCGGAGTCAGCCTCCCCACCATCACAGACATCTGCACCTCCAGATGCAGGAAGAGGGCCACCTGCATCATGAAGGACCCCACTCACCCAGCACACACACTTTTTGCCCCACTCCCCTGAGGAAGGAGGTTAAGGAGCATTAAGTGTAGAACCACTAGACTGAGGAACAGCTTCTACCCTGAGGCTGTTAGACTCATGAATCTCTAACTAGAATAATCACTGTGAAAAACCATATCATGTTGCTGCTGATCTGTTTCATGTTGCTACTGATCTGTTTCATGTTGCTGCTGATCTGTTTCAATGTTGATGTGTTCATGCGTGCACATCTGCTCACAGACTCATGTTCATGTTTGTGCTGATGTTCAATGTTTTATGTTATGAGTGCTTAGTGTATATTTAGTTGATGTTTTTTTCTTAGTTCATATCTTAGATGTTATTACTGTTTTTCTCATACATTTTATTGTTGGATGTAACTGGGACCCCGTGTACATAATTTCGCTCCACCACATGTACCACATGAGGTGTGAATGACAATAAAGAAACTCTGACTCTGACTCTGACTTAAGGCAAAGGACCCACCATCTGGAACCTGGCAACTACCCTATGGGGCCAGGGATGTTTTATGACATGTGGAGGTGTATAAATGAAGCTGTACTACTCATGTTTTTTGAGAACACACAGAACTCACTGAGCTGCGTTTTTTGTTCATATGTTTTCCTTCTGCAGAAGAGAAATAAACTTTACTACGTGTTTTTTAAACAAAGTTCTCAGTCTGCTAAATTTTATTGAACAACAAAGTTTGATAAAACTCCACAATTCGGCATCATGAATATGATCCTTCGCTGGCCTGTCCTCTTCACTGGAAGCCAGGACGGTGGCTGATCACCGGGAATCATTGTATTCTTCCTCCGAACCTCCTTTAGGACATTGAGAGTGGGAGGGCGTTCTGGTTGTCCATTGGAGGGGGCCGGCTTCGACAAGATCCGAACTTGACTGAGAGACCCATATCAAAACAAAGGTAAAAACAATTTTATATAAAAGTAGGTTTTATTAGAAAACCGAGGTAGATTTGTGTATAAACAAATCGAGAAAATCAAGTAGGTTTTAATGATTTAAAACTGAGGTAGATTTATAAATAATAAATCTTGGTAAGTCTCATTTAGGAGACTGAGAATGAAGTCATAAAAATGGGGTCAGGAAATAGTAAATCAGATGATTATATTCCTTGTGGTCCAGAAGCTGACAGGATGCGCAGACTGCATGGAGATTTGAGTCTCGGTTTCGTCCCTCAGTGGCATTCCAAATTTGATTTTCCCAAAAATGGTTCTTTTGACCCAGCAGAAATTCAAAAATTAGAAGAACAGTTTTTAAGACAGAAACAAAAAATGTGTAATATGAAGAAAATACCACAGGATATTTTTGTAGCCATGCACAATCATGAACAAGCATTTAAATTATGGAAAAATCAATCAAAAACAATTACTCAAAAAACAGCGTCTAAAACATTTCAGATGGCTCAGAAAATTGAAAAATCAACCAAATTGGCTCTAAAAAATGAGACAATGACAAACTTAAAAACTGCATCAAAAGCTAAGTCAGGAAAAGAAGCCAGATCATTAAAAGACAAACTAAACATTTCTCTCTCCTCTCTTCCTTTTTCCTCACATGCACCGGAGGACTGCAGATCTCTGCCTCCCACAGTATCTCTCTACCCCTCCCTGACCGGCTTCATCGCTCCTCCACCCTACGCACCACCAGTTCCAAGAAAAGACAAAAAGAACAAGAAAAAACTGTCTGCCACCTCTGCATCGTATCCGACGCCTACCCCAGTATGGGCGCTCGATTCAGACGATGATTTCCAAGGCCATGGTCACACATCAGAGGAGGAGAACAAACCCACTGATGAACTCTCTCTGGGAGAAGGAACGTCGGCCCCAGCATCTGATTCGGAGGAAAAAAGTGATGAAACCTCACCAGTGTCCTCGCTGAAGACCCCAGCTGATAACAGAGGTTCTTGTTGCTAGAACCAGCACTACAGTCATCACAAGACAAATGGGAAAGATTAAGGCCCTTGAAGAAGAGAAACTGGATGACATTAAACAGTAGGACTGAAAGAAAAAAAACAACAAAAAGGAGGATCATCATTGTCTGACCTTACCCAAGCTGCAGATGGAGTGGACAACCCTGCAGCCCTGCACACAAACCCCATGTTGGAGGTCAGTGGACCAATTGGCCCTCAACTGGTGTATCGAGCCTTGTCCAAGGCAGCCCTGATCGAGATGGCGAGCCAGCACTTAGCTGACTTGGCACAAGGAGGAACTGCTGTAGCTGCTGCCATGATTAACATGATAGAAGTGGTTCGACCCACACTAGCTGAACTCAAAATGGTACTGGCTTCTGTATATGGGATTGGGTTCATCAGCACTATCGGGGCTCAACTATTCGATGTGAACAACGGACAACGTATCTTCCATGTCCACATTGACCATAAGGACAACCAAAGTTATTTCAAATACATGGAAAAGATCATAGAACGCATCACTGCAGTGTATCCTCAGACAATGAGCACACAGCCATCACAGATACTGTTCAAAAACCGGATGCAAGCCCACAGGATTACTCCAACAGATTACTTCCGGTTTTCAGAACACATTCTGGCATCACAGTGACCTGTGATGACTGGCGTGATGCACCTCAAGCCACACCATTTGAGACCATTTTCTGCCAATACTTGATGAGTGGACTCATACCATCCATCCGCAAAGCTGTTCAGGGCACATACATAGGATGGAAATCTGGCGTCTGCCTGAATGAACTGCTGAAACACGCCAGGCACGCTTGGGACCAACACACCACGGAGCAGATGACCACACAAAAAAGGAAACAAAGGCAGACTGAGGATGCTCAGCTTACGTTACTCTAAGCTGCTACACAGCTGACGTTGGATGCAGCCGCTCCCAGACTACCTCAAACACCAAGACCTCAGCCTGTTCAAGCAAACCAAGGCCAAGATTATCCTACTGGACCTCAACCCTATTTCCTGTGTGGAGGTTTGGATCACTGGATCAGAAACTGTCCTCATAAGAAAAATCAATTGTGTGGCAGGAGTCACCCGCCATATCAACACTACCCATACGGGCAAAGGCCTCAACAATACGTCCCAAACCATCAACAGTCACAAGATGGACAGAACTTTTTCCCGAGCCCACACTGATGAGGTGGGCGTGGTTTTGGGTACCCAGGTGGCCGAGGTCAGAGAGGCAGGCACTCCACCTGACTAATGCCGGGAGGTTGAGATCCAGGACACCAAACTGCAAGTACCAGCACACACACACACCTGTTTTTCAGTCAGACACAGGCGAGATAGTTCCTACATATTACAAATACACTCGGACAGCATATCTGAAGTTACCTATGCTCACAGTGTTGGTTGAAGACGTCCCTGTTAAATTTCTCGTAGACTCAGGAGCGACACAATCTTTGATCATGAAAAAATGTTTTCCTGATGCTCCTCTCTCAGGCAAAATTGTACATTCCACTGGAGCGTCTGGACAGACTGTTCCTGAAGTTGTCACGGCTCCTATGAAAACTATAGACAGGTTCGATCAATCATCACATGAACATCAATTTTTGCTGTCAGGCTCCTGCCCAGTAAATTTACTGGCTAGAGATTTGATTCTAAAATTTAGGCTGTGTTGATTTGCGTCTTCGCTCCGCCCGAGTTCGTTGTTATGGCTTGT